GCTGGGAATTGAACTCAGAACCTCTGGAAGAGCAGCCAGTGCTCTTAACCTCTGAGCCATCTCTCCAGCCCCAGCAGGGATTTATTATTAAAGTCAAAATACCACACAAATTATTTAGAAAAACAAGTAGTCCAGTAAGGCATTTGGTATAAACCTTGGGACAACTGTTGATTTTCATCTCTCCCTAATTTTATTCTTGTCCAAAGGTTATCAACTGGCAAACTTCTCTTCATATTCCCCCTCAAGCTAAGCTGAGTCCCGAAGCCTCTGACCTCATCATCAAACTCTGCCGAGGACCAGAAGATCGCCTAGGCAAGAATGGTGCTGATGAAATAAAGGCCCATCCATTTTTTAAAACCATTGACTTCTCTAGTGATCTTAGACAGCAGTCTGCTTCATACATCCCCAAAATCACGCACCCAACAGATACGTCCAATTTTGACCCTGTTGACCCTGATAAATTGTGGAGTGATGATAACGAGGAAGAAAATGTCAGTGACACCCTGAACGGATGGTTCAAAAACGGCAAGCACCCGGAACACGCTTTCTATGAGTTTACCTTTCGGAGGTTTTTTGATGACAATGGCTATCCATATAATTATCCAAAGCCTATTGAATATGAATACATTAATTCACAAGGCTCAGAGCAACAGTCTGATGAAGACGATCAACACACAGGCTCAGATGTAAAAAACCGTGATCTCGTATATGTTTAATAGATGGGAGATAATTGTACAAATTTGCAGAAAGACCTGAAATTCAGGGTTTTGTTAAGTTTTGAGAAGATTATGCAAATATGACAGAGTTTGTATGCTCTGTGTACAATATTTTATTTTCCTAAATTATGGAAAATTGTTTTTAAAATGTTAATTTATTCCACCCTTTTAATTCAGTAATTTAGAATAAATTGTTATAAGGAAAATAAATTATGAACTGAGTATTATAGTCAGTTGTTGGTACTTAAAGTACTTAAAAAATAGTGCTCTGTTTAAAAAGAGAAGCCTGGTATCTATTTGTATATATGCTAAATAATTTTAAAATTCAAGAGTTTTTGAAAGACAGTTTTATCTTGCTTTAACCAAATATGAAACATATCCATATTTCCCTGTAACTTTGGTTTTAGTTCACAATAAGCTAAAGAAATTAAGCCATCATTTTAGAAGGTGTACCTAGGCTAATGCTAATCTGGAAGTCATATCCTGGAATCACAAATACAGAGCAAAAAAAAATGAGTTCACTAGAAATAATGCAGTTTGCCCCTTCCTTCCACGGAAGTCTTTACCCTAGCATTTCCTCTCAATTACTGGCTTTGAAAGTAGAAGTCAGAGCACTACTAGTTTTGTTTCCATATTGGTATTAATGCTGCTTCCAGTTTTAAAAGGGAACCAAGTTGCCATAAATCAAATTTTCAAATACTAAAAACTAAGGTCTGTAATATTTTTATCTTAAAATTAGAAGAAAAATTTCCATGTCCTAAGCAGAGAAATTATTTTCAGTTTGTAAAACTTTGATTAGAATTTATTTGTATGTACTCACTAAGAAAGTACTTTTCCAGTGGCTGGGGATGTAACTTAGTGGTAGAGCACTTGCCTAACATACACAAAGCCCTGAGTTCAATCCCCAGCACCCCTGCCCCCCCAGAGGAACCTTTGCAGTACAGTTCCCCATCATGTTTCGTTGTCAGTGCTGTAGATTTCCTTTCAGGACAGTGCTACAGTGCAAATCACTGGCACAGGAAAATGTTTCTATTTGGCACTATTATACCTAAGAGTAGATTAACTGGTTAAAAGATAATTATTAATTAACTCCTAATTGGGATGACCATTCCTAATTAGAAGATACATAGTGGTTTAGAAATTAAAGAACTCCTAACTTATTTAAGATTAATGTGCCTATTTATATTATGTTTAGGTTCTAGGGAAGAATTGTGACTTCATAACAAAATGCATAGTAACATCTTTTAGGAAGAAGAATCGGTCTGTGTTCTGACCTTAGGAACGTTTGTATATTATTTCCTTTTCTTAAGGTTTATTGACATGAATTGCTTTATCAGACTTAATGTTTGTGGACAGAAATGATATTTACTTATTTAGCTTTCTTATAAAAGTTAATTTGTTTGAAACCATATGTATAATAAAATTAAAGGCAAAGTTATTTGGTTAAATTGGGGAAAGAGAAAAAGTTACTAGCTTACACTTTGATGTTCAATTTAGAACCTGTTGCAGTCTAAGGGTGGGCTTTGGGGTCACTGGTTCTTTTGAAATGAAGGCTTTGTGAACTCTGGCCGTATGAAAAAAGTGCATGTCAACACATATAAAGTGTTAGATGCACTTCCAGTGGTCTCTCAATATGACAAAAACCTCACAGACAACAGGTAAAAGACCTGCTTCCTGTAAGTAAATTGCTGCATTACATTGAAAACTTTTAACTGATTGCACAGTACTCAGATGAGCACATTTTGTAAAAATAATGATGATCTGCCATTGGAAAGGTTTCTAGAGTACGAGCTGATGACCCTATGAATGCTGGCACAACACTGACATATTTTAAACGCTACTTTTGAGGGTACTGAAATGTTTGGTGTTTTTGAAGGATTTCTTATGAGAACTAAGAGAATGTGCTATCACAAAACAGTCTTTAAATCATGGGACACTTGAATAGTCTGTAAAATCCTATGCAAAACATACTTATTCAAGAATTTTTGACTTGGTCCCCACATTTATAAGACTGCCCTCTTGTTCTTTGTGCTTTCTCACTCAGATTTACATTTTCATTAGTGGTTTTACTCCTGGATTATGGTGCAATACAGCAGAAAACCAGTTTCATCACATTCACATTGCAGGAAATAAAGGTGCTGCCTCCTCCCTTCCACACCATGGTTCCTCAGATTGCAAACACTACAAATGCTGTGTCCTTCTGAACTTCCCTGACGGCATAAGCGTGTCTAGGGCTGGTGGAGGCAGTATACAAGCATTTGTATCCACGATTTTAGTATTTTATCCACAATTTTAATATTTGGATACTCATACTGGTTATTTTACTCCCTGACTACATCCAGTTCTTCCAGCATAGAAGCTGGTACTTTCTGAGCAAACAGTGAGAACAGCATAAAAACTGACACTCTTAACTGAAGTGGGGTGAAGACGCCCTTCTCCATGCCGTCCCTTTTGGCTGTCTTGTGTACTTGCCCCTTTAATTCGTATCAATAGTATTTATAAAATGTGTTTTATAATTATGTAATTGTACATACTGTTGTGTATTGTTCAGTGACGTCCTGAGGCAGGCCCTGTTGCTGTATCTGTCCTACCTTACTATTTGTAATAGAACTATAGAATATATGACTAAGAAGTCACTTTGAGATTGACTTTTTAAAAAAGTTATTTCCTTCTGCTGTTGAGAAGTGCAAAACTGTGAGTGGAAATGTTTTGTTCTGACTTAATAATGTGTTAGAGATTAGAAACAAGTGGGAGGAGTTTTAGATATGCTGCTGCTGTTACTCAAGGTACTTTAGAAATTTTTCTTTAATAAACAACAATAAAATCCCTTTGGTATTTAAAGTGGAAGTCTGTTTTTTTAATCTAAAATAAAATGTAATTTGGGTCAACATATTGGGATATTTGTAAAGTGCCTTAGTATATCCTTTGTGGAAGGCACTTCCCAGTTTACTTTTATATTGCATTATGTATATAAGTATTTTGTATTAAAATGGAATCAATGGCAACACTACCATTTTATAAAAAAATGCTTTGCTAGAGAAAAGAATTACAGCTTTGCAATATAACAACTGTTTTGCATATTTCTGAATGTAATAGAACAATTATTAATCAGTCTGTTTTAATGAATCTATTTGTATTTTCCCAATCATTTCCTCTAGTGTAACATTTGATGGGATAATAAAAAAAGCAAAATTCAAATTTTTCAATCATGTGTGGAAAGCTAATTATGTTCATTTTTATTATATGGTGCTGCGTGTGGTGGTTTGAATGCTCGCATGGAGGGCAGAGGACAGGTTTCAGGGGTCAGTCTGTCCTTTGACCCTGTGGGTGATGGGATCAAACCTGCATGCATCTTCAGGTTTGGGGGCAAGAGCCTCACCCACTGAGCAATCTTCTTATTTTCTTTTTAACACATGTTGTGTGTATGTGTATGTACATGCCACAGCACTTATGTGGCAATCAGAGGCCATGTAGTTTTTGAGGCAAGTGCCTTTACCTGGGGAGGCCATTTCAAAACTCTAATTTTTAATAAAGTTTTTTTTAGCGTTTATATAATTTTAACTTTAATTTTGTTTTGTTTTGTTTTGTTTGAGACAGGGTTTCCTTGTATAGCCCCGGCTGTCCTGAACTTGCTCTGTAGACCAGGCTGGCCTCAAACTTAGAGATCCACCTGCCTCTGCCTACTGAGTGCTGGGATTGAAGGCGTGTGCCATCTCCATCAGGCCAGTTTATTTTATGTATGTGAGTGTTCTGTCTGTATGTATGTCTGCACACCAGAAGATGGAATCAGATCCCACAACAGATGGCTATGAGCCACCATGTGGTTGCTGGGAATTGAACTCAGGACTTCTGGAAAAGCATCTCCAGCCCCATTTTATCATTTTTAAATGTGTACCCTTTTACATGTAATCGTAGGAAATGCTAATCAAATTCTTAGTTATTGTCTCAAAACAGGTGTACATGGAACATATCAAGAGTTACCATTACTGTTGTTTTCTTCTGTCTACTAGTTTACATCCCTTCATAAATTAGTATTTGATATGCATGAGGTCGATATTCCTGATTTGTGCTACTACTTTGTGGGTTCATGACTGTTATACTTCACATAGTGAAGACACTTTCCTAAGACGACACTCCCCTCTCTGCCTTAATCTGAAAGGGAGAGAGCAGTTGCCAGATACATTTGAGGCATGGATGGCTCCTGACTCCAGTAATCTACATAGCCTCAGCACCCGGTACCAAAGCAAGATTGTCATAAACGAATGTCTTGACCCAGACACTCACCTGTAAGAGAGCCCCTGACTCCTTAACCTGAGCAGCTTGCTGAAAGTTGACCCAGAGGCAAGGAGGCAACGTGAACGAGCCTTGGGAACGGATATGAAGGGCCACAGGATGAGTTCTGAACTAGGCAAGGCAGGACCAAACCTTTCGCCACGCCCACTCCTCTCTAGCGACCGCAAGCGGAATGCGCAGGCGCATCCAGAGCTCGGCCACGCCCCCTTAGGTTCCGCCTGCGTGCGCATGCCCGTACGCGCCTTCACTTCCGGGGCATGGCCCCGCGGGTGCGGGACTGGCCGGGTCGGTAGGGAGCTGGAAGTGCCCTTGCCGGAGTTGACTTCAAATTGGCTGCGAGCAGGGACTGCGTTGCCCGCGGTGCTCGGCCGTGCGGCTCCCGGAGCGAGCGCGACGCTGCGGCTCGGGCCTCGTCCCCTGCCACGCGGCGGGCAGCGTGTCCCGGAGCCTCGGCTGCGCCAGGTGAGTGCTCGCTCGGGCCGCAGTGCGCACGGTCCGCCGGAGGAGCCCTGTGATGCCACCTCAGGCCCTTGTCCTTACAGATGTCACCCGATCCGGGGACGGGGTGGAAGCTTGCTCGCTCCCTCCCCGAAACCTCCGCCCTTTAAAAGCTCCAAATGTTGGACGTTGGGATTCAGCTTCTTTTCCTACAATCTGTTATGCTGGTGATTTACTTATTTCTCCTTTGTAATTGATTTTATTTTTAGTTTTAAAGTGTATTGCTATCCTGCATGTAGGAGGTAGATGTGGGCTCGCGAGTGGAGATCAGAGGCCAGTCTGTGAAGTTGGTTCCCTCCATCCACCTCCACAGGGCTCCCGGAGTTGAACTCTGGTCGCCAGATATGCTGGGCAAATTGCCTTTACCAGCTGAGCTAACTCACCGGCTTTTCGTTTGTTTTTGTTGTTGTTGGATTTACTGTATTGTATTTCTGTTTGAAGCGGCATGTTTTTTGTTTTTGTTTTTTTCTTTTCTACTTGACTGTGAAAAAGGTGGCACTTTTGTCAGTCGGTATGATCCATGTAGATAATAATACACTAAATGTATTTTGCTTGTGGTGTTTCTTGACAGGGCTTGAATGCTGCTTTTAAGTTACATTTCAGTTGTTACACTTAATAATTGATCTGTTTTGTTCAGGATGAACTGAAAATACGAGTACCTGTAGAGTGGATTTTTTTTTTCTGAAAAAGTTCGTGTGTGTATGCATGCGTGCATCTCTTAGTAATGATAACTTTATTATGCTTGAGTACTTATCATATGATGATTATAAAAGCTAAAAAAAAAGCCGTATGCCATGCTTTAATTGTTCTGGGGGTATGTCAGTTTTTGTGTTTATTCATAGTCATTAGTGACTATGTAAATTATCATATAGTTATTCTCATGTTCCCAAGGTACACTTCCTGAAATTGCTTGTCTGCCTGTAGTGCCTTTGAAAGTACTTTGTCAGGCGAGTCTTACAACCAGGTTTAAAGCCTGGAGCCCAACAAGGGTGGACCTCCACACCTGTGTCATGTTACACACTCAATAATAATAAAAAAGTTACACACATGGTGTATTCAGATGCCTTCAGGAGGTTGCGGGATAAGGTTTTTGGTTTTTAATTTTACTTCTTTTTTAAAAGACTATTTTTAAGTGTGTGTGTGTGTGGTGTGTGTGTGTGTGTGTGTGTGTCTTGGGGAATGGACACTTGTGAGTACAGGTGCCTGGGGAGTCAGGAAGAAGGTATCAGATTCCATGGAGCTGGAGTTACATTACTCATTGGCTTTTTTCTTTTCTTTTCTTTTTTTTCTTTTTTCTTTTTGGTTTTTTCGAGACAGGGTTTCTCTGTGGCTTTGGAGGCTGTCCTGGAACTCGCTTGGTAGTCCAGGCTGGTCTCGAACTCACAGAGATCCGCCTACCTCTGCCTCCAGAGTGCTGGGATTAAAGGCGTGCGCCACCAATGCCCGGCGGCTTTTTTCTGTTGAATATATATATTTTTTATTTTTTGAAAACTTAATATTTTAGCTTTTGTTCCTCTGTGTAGACTCTTTTCGTCAAACACTGCCAGATACTACACGAGATAAACCCAGTTTCTGTTCTTCTGCAGTGGAATTTCAGCAATGATAAGGGAAATTTAAAAATTTGGTAAATACAAGTGTTAATATTCTGGCTTAGGGGGTTGGAGAAATGGTTCAGTGGTTAAGAGCATGGGCTCCTCTTCCAGAGGACTTGAGTTTAATTCCCAGTACCCACATGGCAGGTCACAACTGTCTCTAATGCCCAATTCCAGGGGTATCTGAAACCCTCACGTGGAGATACATGTCGGCAAAACACCGATGCACATAAAATAAAAATAAAAATTATTTTAAGATATTCTGGCTTAGATATTGCTGCAGTAATAGAAAATGATGATTTTTTTTAAAATCTGATATTTAGTGACCTGAGGGTGCTTTGGCAGTATATGTGTAAACACTTTGTTTTCTCTGATAGCCAAATGCTTTGCATATGGTCTGTTAATGTGGCCTTGGATTGACTTTCTATTATTGTCTGTTGGAAAATATCAAGCTGGGCGTGGTAACTCACTTGTGATTCCAGTACTTGGGAGGCTGAGCAAGAGAACAAATGTGGGTTCTAGGCTAACCTGAGCTAGTGTGAAACCCAGTCACTCTTCCTACCTGAAGAAAAGAAAGAGAAATAGTTGGCTTAGAAGGAATTTTATCTGACTGGAAAGAGAAATTCAAAACCGTATACTGTTGAAGAAGTCTAAGAATAGCTTTGAGCCCTGAATCATGACACCCCCCCCCAAATAGAGAAACTTATCCAAGGTCATAGGAATCAGCTGTACACTTCAGAGCAGGCCAGGCTCCTCCTTCTGATGGCGCTGCCCAGACTAGTCATCACCATAGATAGGCAAAGGTTTCAGAGCAGGAGTAATCACACAGGAATCAAGTGGGCCTGGAGAGATGACTGCTCTTCCAGAGGACCCAGGTTCAATTCTCAGCCCCCGCATGGCTTCTTACAAACATCTGCAACCTCAGTGTCAGGGCGTCCGGCGCCTTCTCTCTCCTGTGTGGGCACTGCATGCACTTTGTGCAGAACACATAAATACATACATAAAAATTCAAAACGTATCAAATGGTAGTCCAGGCTTGGTGGGTTGAACTGAGGATCGAGGAATATGAGAGTCTCGGGGATTGGAAACTAGACCAAGGGAAAGGGGTTTTGGAGTTAAGACAACACTAGCAGCAGTCATCCACTCAAAGGTGTTTTGATATCTGTGTGCCAAGTGTGTCCTGGTTGCTGAGGGTACAGCGGTTACCGAAGGTGGAGTCTCTGCTATGGACCCTTTATTAAGGAGAACATCATGGTCACAACTTCCGGCAGTCATTATTTATGTTCTGGGAGATTTTGTTCTTTTGATTTTTCTTCTTCTGGACCTTGGATGGTGGATCTTGAGTTACCGATAAGTGGCCTAACCTCAATTCATACCTATATTGTTATGTACTTGTGAGTTACTGCATAGTTTAGGGTTAAACCACACTTACTCCAGTCGCTCTGGGTCAGGAATGTGTGGCTTTGTGGTGCCTCTGATTCAGTCTGTCGTCAGGCTGTAATGCAGATGTCATCCAGGACAGCAGTCATCTCAAGACATATAACCACAGGAGGATTCAAGCTCCTTCATGTGGTTGCTAACCGGATTCAGGGCCTTATGTGTTCTTGGTGTGAAACCCTCAGTTCATCACTAATTGCGGCCCTGGGACCTCCCTCATTTCCTTGTGGTGTGAGTCTCTTCATAGAGGGTGTTGCCACATAATAGCTGGTTTTCCTTTGAGTGGAGAAGTGACAGACAGTGAGGAGGATGGAAGTCACAGTTTAATCCCAGGAGGAACATCTCGTCCATCCTTTTGTTTACTTACAACATGAATTCAAGCTCCCATTTAGCCCAGGCTGGCTTCAAGCTCAACATACAACCAAGGATGGCTTTGACCTCCCAAATGCTAGGATAACAGGTGTGTGACCCCATATCTGATTCTTTGATTCACATTTCTCTCCACAACCTGTTTAGAGTGGTACATTCCATATATATTCTGAGGTATGCATGTATATTTTAAAATGAGTGTTTATGTAACATTGGTAATTTTACTTTGATCAAATGATATTCAAATTAGACATTGTTCTATGTCTAAGATTTTTGTTTCCCAACCCATTAATTTTGATGATCTATTTATGTTGCTACTTACGAAGTTTATTGCTTCCATGTACTGTATATTTACTGTGTTCTTTGCCACAGTTTCCTAACAGAGCAGTTTGTCTCCAACTTTTTTGTAGTGTTTTATATTTCAATATGTGACCTATACATAATATGGGTTGACATTTTCATAATTCACATAATATATTGTTATTATATTCCCCCTGCCTCTAATTTCTTGATAATTCAAATAGTTCTGTCATTAACAACCAGAACCATGTCCTTTTATGAATCTTTGTGAGGCTTTGTTCTGGAGTGTTTTATAACATTTCTCTTTTTTTTTGTTTTGTTTTGTTTTGTTTTTCGAGACAGGATTTCTCTCTGACTTTGGAGACTGTCTTGGAACTAGCTCTTGTAGACCAGATTAGCCTCGAACTCACAGAGATCCACCTGCCTCTGCCTCCCCAGTGCTGGGACTAAAGGCATGCGACACCACTGCCCCGCTTTTATAACATTTCTACATAGGGCCATTGATATATAAATAGAAGATATCTGTAAGTATTGCTTGATTATTCTCCAAAATGAGTATGTAACTATATTCTCACAAACTGTGAGGGTCTCTTTCTCCCAAAATCCATGCTCATATTTGGCATTATTGAACTTGTTTTTTTGTTGTTGCTGTTGTTTTTCAAGACAGGGTTTCTCTGTGGTATGGCTCTGGCTGTCCTAGAACTCACTGTGTAGACCACAATGGCTTCAAACTCAGAGATTTGTGTTGATGGAGTTTCTGTCCCACCTGGTCCTTTAGCCATTTAGGCCCAAATAAACACACAGAGGCTTATATTAATTATAAACTATTTAACCAATGGCTCAGGCTTCTTATTGGCTAGCTGTCTCTTAATTATTAACCCATTTTTAATTTATCTATGTATTTCCACATGGTCTCGGTTTACCAGAGAATGCCTGGCATCCTATCTTCCCAGTAGCTACA